GGCCTCCTTCGGTTCTAAGCCCCAAATTCCCACAAAACAACCAACGGACCTTCCCCGGGGACCCCAAAAGGCGATGCCCCGGGGACCCAACGCCACCAACATTGGCCCAAGTGGCCCTTCCCGGCCCCCCACCCCGGGCCCCAGGGCTTTTAGTAGCTCCGCTCGGGGCGTCCTGGGGCCGCCTCCCCAAAACGCTGCGGCCCACGCGGCCGCCGGGCGGCGCGACGGCGGCTACCGGCCGGCATAGCCCTTCCAGCGCCGGCCGGGGGCTGCGGCGGCGCGCGGCGCGCGGCGGGCAAGCTGCCTGCTGGCGGGCGGCGCTTCTAGTCGTGATTTTAGTGCCGCGTAGGTCGCCCTTCGGCCACTTCTCGGGCGTGCGGCCGCAGCGCGGCGAGAAGGCGGCGCGCTCGGCCCGCTGGCGGAGGTGAAGCCCCCCAGAGCGGAAGCTGGCGGGCCGGGGGCGTCGGGCGGGTGCGCGGCGGCACCCGTGCCACCGGGACGGGCCGTGGTGGCCCGTGTGGCGGCCGTGAAGGGCCGTTTGGTGCGCCCCGGCGGCCTCCTGCACGGCGGCCGCCGGGGCCGGTTTGGAATGTGTTTGGGGGGGTGGAGTGGTCCGGTGGCCGGTGTGATGGTCGTTTATCACCCTCCTATCACCCACTTACCGCCCCCGGCCGTGGGGGCCTCTCCAGACGCCGCCATTTATGATTTCAAAGGGTCCTGCCGACGCTCATCACAGTGCGGCGGAGGGGCCGGAGCCGGCGCCGCGGAGGACGAGGATGGCCGTGACGGACCGGTACGAGCTCTGGGAGGTTCAGTGTCAGTGAGTATATTGTAGAGGCCACCCATGTGCACAATATCTTGACTGAGAGCTAATTCTGGGGAGGCGATGCCGGGGCCGTACAGCAGCTTGATGGTGCTGCGCCGGCGTGCGTCCCGCCGGCCGCCGGGGCCGGTTTGGACTGTGTTTGGGGGGGTGGAGGGGTCCGGTGGCCGGTGTGATGGTCGTTTATGGCCATCCTATCACCCACTTACCACCCCCGGCCGTGGGGGCCTCACCGGACGCCGCCATTCATGATTTCAAAGGGTCCTGCCGTCGCTCAGTTCGAATCACAGTGGGGCGGAGCCTACCCTGGGTATTACCCGGGTATAACCGGGTTTTTCCAGGCAAAATACCGCGCAAAATACCCGGTATTTTGCCGATTTTGCCGATTTTGCCAGATTTTGCCACCAAGAAGGCACTCCGACTCGCTTTGATTTCCGTGAGGCAACTGGTATCCCGTACCACTTTTTGATTAGTGCAGGCCTTGGGTTTGATTAGCCAAAAACTCCCATACCGGTAAAGATCGAGCACTGCTGACACGCTAATCTTGAAAACGTCTCCAACGGAGCTCCGTGTTGCTTCCAGCGCCCTCCCCCGCGCTCCCTGCGGCCATGGCCGATGCTCCTAGTATGAGAGGTCATCTGGCTACCGCGAGAGCGACCCAAATCGTCGACATCGTCCGATGATGGTGCCTCAAAGTCAGCCTTCGGAGGCTATCGTGGGGTCGAGCCGGCAGTAGCCGTGACATGTGGTTCCACCACCCCTCGTAGGCTTTGCCTCTGACCGCCACCGTTCCCAGGCTGCCTCATGGGATGGAAAGGAAGGCTCGGCGAGCGTATAGAAGCGTGCTCGACCTCGTCGTGGCAACCTGCACGGCAGCGCTGGTAGGCGCGATGAGCGTCGTGCCACCTGACCCGAGACGGGTCGCAGGCAGCGTACCGAGCGCGTCGAGACCGTGTCCTGATGTGATCTGCACGGGTAAATCACGTCGGCGTCAAAGGAGCGACGTGCGACCTGTCAGAGCTTGATCTCCGATCTCAGCGGCGTCGAGTCATCTCCGGCGCGCGACAAAGGTACATCCACAGGACGCGCAGAGGCAGCTGCGACCCTGCCGAGTGGACGGCGGCACACCGCGCCACCTGCTGTGTGCCGCCGTCTACTCGGCGGGGTCGCAGCTGCCTCTGGAAGGCACCGAGATGTACCTTTTTGCGCAAATGGTCAAATCAACGGGTTTAGTAACAAGTAGCGCGCGCTGTGCCAGAGTGAAATGGCACTAGCCATCTCAATCGTGGTCCCGCGCGTACACGGCTCTATACCAACGGCTCACTCTAAAGTATATCGACCGCGGCACCGGGATGATATATTTTACCATTGGTTAGCGCGCGAAATGGTGTCTCTACGGCTCTACGCACCGTTATTGTGCGTCTCCACGGTTGAGAAGGTACTTTCCGCCTGGGCCCGCTGCCGCCGTGCCGGCCCTTACTTAGCTGGACGTGTGCCGGGCACATGCCCACAACGCGCCAGAAATGTGTTAGCCATACGTTAGTCAAACGTCGATCTCCCTCGCCTTCGCCGCGCCCGTCGCCAGTGCGAGCATTCTCCGCCGCAGGTAGTCGCCCTCCTGCCTCGCCTTCTCCTGCGCCGCCGCCATCTCCTCCGCCTCCGCCTCCTCTCCCCCGCCGCCGCACTCGCCGCCCCCCAGGCTGAGGCGCATGTAGGCCGCCGCGCCGCCGCACGAGAGGACAAACAGCGCAATGATTGAGTAGCCAACATACTCGAAGTGGTCGTTGACGCTCTTGACGCCGTCCCAGAAGGGTCCGGCGAGGTGAAGCTTGTCCTGCACCTGGCCGAGCAGCTCGACTGCGGCCACCACGAGCGCGATGGCGGCGGAGAGGGCGGTGAGGAAGAGGTTGAAGAAGAGGCGGCGCGCCGGGTCGCCGCCCGCCCACCGGTACATGAAAAGCATCATCATTCCGTCGAGAGTGTCGACGAGCGACATCGCGCACGCGAAGAGCAGCGGCAGCAGCAGGGTGAGCAGCGGAGGCACGCCCGAGTCTGACGACATCGCGGTGAGGCCGAGCAGGGCGATCTCCGAGGCGGTGTCGAAGCCGAGGCCGAAGAGCAGGCCGACAGGGTACATGTGCCACTCCGCCGTGATGCCGCGGAAGATGCCTGGGCAGCACCGCGCGAGGAGGCCGGACGTCGCTCCACTCGGCTTCACCTCGGCGAACTCGTCAACCTCGACGGCGTGCGTGTGGGTGAAGAAGGTTGCGCCGAAGGCGCTGTAGTGCCTGTGCTCGCCCGTGGCCCGCCTCTCGTGGTAGTCGTGGTACAGGCGCCGCGCGGTGGCGATGTTGAGGCCCGAGACGAGAAGCAGCACGCTCACAGAGACGAGGGTACCGATCGGCGCGAGCGACTCTTTGAGGGAGGTGACGTTGTCGGAGAGGTAGGTCGAGCCGAGCGCCACGCCGAGGCACATGAGCCCCACCACCGTCGAGTGGCCCAGCGAGAAGAAGAGCCCGACGAGCAGCGGCGCCGGCCGGCGGGCCGCCGCACCAGCCGTGCCGGGCGCCGGAGCGGAGGAGAGCTTGCGAGTGACGTTGTCGATGGCGGCAATGTGGTCAGCGTCGACGGCGTGGCGGAGGCCAAAAGTGTAGGCGAGGGTGGCGCCAGCGGAGAGGGAGGGGTAGCGCCCGACGGCGACGGTGAGCAGCATAACGGCTGAGACGTTGACGACGACGAGGGCGGCGACGATAGCGATGGCACGCCGGCGATCCGAGGCGCTTACCACCGCCGACGGACCGTCAGCGGCCGGGCTCCGGGGCAGAAGCATATGCTATACCAAAAGGAGGGCTACACGACGCCCTCTACGGACCCTTTCGCGGGAAACACAAAAAAAAGAAAAGGGTTTCGGTCGGACGAATTCACGGCGGGCACCCCCGGCGGTTGTGCCAATGCCAACCGCGTCGCGGGTGTGTGCGCCGATAACTCTGCTCCTCGCGCCCGGCGCCCTCGGCCTCACTACCACCCGCGAGAGCACGCCGGCCGCTCGTGGCACTACGTTTGCTCCAGTGCCCCGTCCGCCCGTCCCCAACGTGGTCGACGACCCCGCCTGGCTCATCGCCACCTCTGGCTTCTGCTCAAACCTCAAGGCGGTCGAGACCGAGCACGACGTGGAGACAAGTGCTGAGGGCGACACGAGGGCGCACTTCATCGGCAGCATCTCCTTTGAGTACTACCCGCAGGCGGCGGTCAAGTTCACCGATTTCCCGCATCATCTCGCGAAGACCATCGAGGGCGACGCGGCTGAGGCGGACGCGCTGGTTTCGAGCTCGTGGGACCATAAATATCGCGCTGCTCGAGCCGACGTCCGCGTGCGGCACGGATGGACAGGGCGATCAGGCTTGGGGCATCTCGGTCTTCAAGGTGGTCGAGCACCGCCCCTGCAACGACAACGAGACGGCGTGGGAGACGCACCCGTGCGTTCACTATTCCGGCCACGTCTCGGCGAAGAGCTCCAACTTCGTCAACGTGAACGAGGGGCGCTTCGTCTGCCAACTGTTCGTCGACTCAACAAGCGGTTGCAGGCGGCGCCTGCAGGGATATGGAGATGGTGGTCTGACACAAGAGGAATCTGAGTGCCTTGCAGCAACGATCGGTTTTGGAGTACTGGCGATGCCGAGCTTTTGACCATCAAGTCTATCGAAATCGGGGCGAAGCTGGCCCCTGAGGGGCCCACTCGGGAGGCCGACTTGATCCTCAACGCTACCGAAGCGCCCTAGTCGATGTGCACTGTGCAGCGCTACAGAATAGCCGGCTGCATCAGGTCGTCGTCGACGCGTCGTGCGCGTGGCGGGCCGCCGCCGGCACCGCTTGTGTGTAAAGCTGAAGAATTCTTTGAGTTTGGAAAACCGTACGGAGCCCTCAGCCAGGGCTCAAACATGGTGGAACCGACGCCGGTGCGCGGGGCGTTAGAGGGAGGCGGCATCCACGGCGCACATGCCGTGCATAGACTCGACACGGACAGCCGCGAGGCCGCTTCTACTTTAGGACGCGCCGCTGGCCAGAATGTGCTCGAGCGACTGCGCCGCGTTCGCCACCGCATTGAACGCCTTTAGGTTGGCGTCCGAGCCGACGGCCGGGATGAGGTCGCGCAGCGAGCCGCTGATCGAGGAGGAGCAGTCGTTGACTGAGGACGCGGGGGCCCTCGCCCAAGCCTGGAGCTGTAGCAGCAGCATCAGCGCCGCCGAGACCGTCTCTCGCACGGCGGGCGGAGGCGGGGAAGGGAGCGGCGGCAGCAACGGGGCGACGTCGGAAGCGGCGTCGGCATCGGCGGCGGCGGCGGCGGCGGCATCCGCGGCCGCGTCGGCGGCGGTGCTGGAGGCGATCTCGTGCGAGAGTATGGCCGAGGTCGCCCTGACCGCCTCCTCGCGCAAGTCTGCGCACGCGAGCACGCCCACGCCAGCCGTGACTGGCTCTGGCGCCGAGGCGCCGAGCGCGAGCGAGAAGCGCTGCGACATCGGCCGCATCGCCGCGAGCGCCTCCTCGAGCCGGCGCGAGGTGCCGCGCAGCTCGTCCTGCAGCCAGCTGATCTCGAGGCTCCACCGCCGCACCTCGGAGCGCAGCGCGGAGTGCTCCGCCTCCGAGTGCTCGGCCAGCAGACTGAGCATCGCGTGCACCGGCGGCAGCAGCGGCGGGGGAGGGACCTGCCCGAGCTGCCGCTGCTGCGCCGCCGTCACCTCAACCTTTGGGCCGGCGGTGCCTGGCTCGACGAGCAGCGCGTCGACGTCGCCGCGCGCCCCCTTGTGCTCCTCGTGCACCTCTCGGCCGACGCGGAGGAGGTACTCCTCGCAGTCGCCGCACACGGCCCGCTGCTCCCCAATCAGCATCCGCTTCCTCTGCAGCAGGCGCAGGATGTAGGCGAGCAGCTGCAGCTCCTTGGGCGCGGCCTTGGCCTGCTCGTTGGCAGAGGCCACCGCCGTCTTGCCGGTACCGCTGGCCACCGGCTCCTCGTCGGGCGAAATGCCGGGGGTGAGGGAGCGGGGCGAGGTGAAGTCGATGCCGCGAGTCCCGTCGAGCAGCGGCGCGACCAGCACGTCCTCCACGAGGTGGACGCCCAGCTTCGGAGAGTCGAACTGGACCTTGTAGTGGTCGCCGTCGGGGGAGAGGACCGTGCCCGAGTGGAGCTGACGCAGCCGCGGGTGGAGAGCGGTGACGCGCTGCCCGACCGCCAGCTGCGCCGCCGCGCGCGGGTCGTAGGTGGTCGCCTCGTCGAGTAGCCCGGCCGGCCGCGCCGCTCTCCGCCTCGCCTCGCGCACCCCTTCGCGGTGCTCTCGCAGCGCCGCGCGCTCCTGCTCGACGTACGCGGGCGAGAAGCGGCGCGGCTTGCCGAGCAGCGATCGGACGTACGACCACTCTGCGCGAGGCAGCACGCTGACCTGCCCCAGGCCGCACGCGCCCAGCGCGGCGCAGAACGGGCTCTCGCGGTACCACGCCACGTCGACCGGCGAGTAGAACCACTCGTACATCGCCCAGCGGCGGAGCTTCGGCCGCAGCAGCCGGCAGAGGGTGAGCTTGAGCACGCTCGCCTCCTCGTCCTCATCTGCGGCGGCGGACGTCCCAGCGCCGCCGCCGCCGCCGCTCGTCGCCGCCACGACCCGTGCGGCCGCCGCCGCCTTGTTCGCAGCTTGGCGCAGCAGCATCTCCTCCTTTCGCTTGCCTCGGAGGTGGCGCGGCTTGAGCTCTGGCCAATCGCCTTCGTCCATCTGCTTGACTCGCGCCTTGCGCTTGCCGTACGAGCCTCGCGCTCCGCGGTCCCCCGCCGCCCCCTCGCCGCCTCCCTCGGCGTCGGCCTCCTCACACCCCTCCGCCTCGCCGCCCCCGTTCCCCGCCTCACCCCCGCCGCCCGCCTTGCCGCCCGTGGGCTGCAGCGCTCTCCCCGAGGCGCCGCCGTCACCCGAGCCGCTCGCGCCCTTTGGCTTCTTGCGCGCGGGCGCCTTCTTGCCCGCGCCGGCGGGCCTGCCGTCGAGCGTCGCCTCCCCTGCGCCCGCCGCGCCAGCACGCTTGCCGCCCACACCCTCTCGCAGCAGCGCAAGGTCGTCAAACTGCGCGTCGTCCGCCCTCGCTGGATCGTGGAGGTGGGCAGCGCGGCCGGCGCCGCGGCCGCCGCGACCGCGGCCACCGCCGCGGCCGCGTGCAGGCTTCGCCTTCTTCTGGGGCACGGCCTCGTCCTTCTCCGCCCAACCCGCACGCTTGAAGCCGACCACTCCGTCGCGCCGCGCCGTGCGCCGCTTCTCGCCCTCAGGCGGCGCGAGAGTGGAGCGTGAGCCGAGATGATCCTCGTCGCGCCGGGGCAAACGCCGCTTGCTCTCCCCCTCGGCGTCGTCGGCCATTCGGAGGGAGACTGGGTTGTGGTTGGCGGCTGGGGCCGGGCGCGTTTTACCGTAGCGAGATTTCTTTTTATTTTAGAAGGGAAGGCACACCGAAAACTTCTGATGCCATGCGTGACCTAGTAGTGTCCCCAGCTATGGGCGTGTCCACGTTGGAGCCAGGTGTGGTGTGGACGCGAGAATAGCTCCGCCGTTCATGGAGGCAACCGATGCGAGTCGACTGGTGTGTGTCGTCGTGGTTTCGTATCAATAATACTCACTCACACCACGCCCTCTACGCTGGGGTGCCGGCGCCCTATAGGGCGCCCCCCGCTCCCTTCCCCTTAAGAGCCCCCAATCCCGCTAACATCCCCCCCGCGGTCCCTCGCGGCCGCGCGACGCCGCACCAATCCAGACAAACAACAAACCATTCGCTCTCACCTGGCAACCCTGTCTGCACGTCTCGCGCGCGCGTGAACAGGGCAGAGAGATGTCCCACCATGCAGAGCGCATCTCTCTCTCCGTTGTGCGAGGCGTGAACCGCGCCATTCGCTCTCACCTGGCAACCCTGTCTGCACGTCTCGCGCGCGCGTGAACAGGGCCGCCAAACGGCTCTGCTCCTCCTCTTGTCTGGCGGCAATCGCAAACTGCGGCACAGGCCGCGTTGGCGCAGAGGAGGCGGCAAGCCTCAACGCGCCTACCCGTGGCATACCGCCGGATCGGGCCAAGACTAAGGCTGCAGGCGTCGGCCCCGGCTGCTGCGAGGGCCCTCCCGGTGAGGTGTCCATCTTATGTGCAGTGGGGCTACAACTGTAGCGCGTCGGCAGGATCCCCAAAACCCCCCGCAAATTGAATTCGACCGCGCAAAGCTGTCCCCCCCCCCCCCCCCCCGCCTGAGGGAGGGTGTAGAGGATGTAGAGTGTAGAGCGCTGTAGAGCTGTAGAGATGTAGAGTGCTGGAGAGCGCTGTAGAGCTGTAGAGCTCTACATCCGCCGCGTGACGAGGCGCCTGCGTTGTAGAGCGATGTAGAGGCGCTCTACAACGTGAAATCTCTACAACAAACTCTACATCATAAGCGGCGAACGAGGCACGGTCGCTCTCCGACATGAGGCGCGTTGCACTTGCCAGTGCTGCCCTGGCCTTCTGTCTGCCCGCCCAATGGGTGGCAGGTGCCTCTGCTGCTATGGCATGCCTCACGGCTGCGACTGGCCGGCGCCTCGGCGCGTCAGCTCGGCTCGGCGTAGCGATAGTGGCCAGCGCAACTCGCCTGGACTCAACGCTCAGCCAGGAGCTCCCGCACGCGCTGGCGCGAGTCATGGCGCATGCAACGCGTCTGAATGCTCGCCTCGCCTCGCGCAAATGCGACCGTCCTCGCAGCCGACAGTCCACCGCCTGCTAAAGAAGCACAGCGACGAATGCGGCACCGGCGACACATGGCAGGCTGGTCATGACGCAGTTATAGGGTGTTGTGTGCCGTCAGAGGGACTCTCTGTGTGTCAGGGATAGTCAGGGCTGTCCATCAGAGCTTCACTAAGCTCGGAGACACCCCATTAGCGCGGCTCGACCTCTTTGAGTCACTGCCTTCCCGGCGGTTTGGCTGTAGAGCCTCTACAACAAACTCTACAACAAAATCGCGCTCTACATCGCTCTACAACGCAGGCGCCTCGTCACGCGGCGGATGTAGAGCTCTACAGCTCTACAGCGCTCCAGAGCGCTCTACATCTCTACAGCTCTACAGCGCTCTACACTCTACATCCTCTACACCCTCCCTCAGCCCCCCGCAAGCCACCATAAACATCATTGTGCAGGGGCTCCAGGCCCCAAATGACGTGTGAGTGTTAGAGTTGTTTTTGGTATTGCTAAAAATCTCTCTCTCCAATCAAGAGGTTGTTGTTTTGTTGCCAATCAATGGCGCGCTGTGCCTCGTCCGCGAGCGCCGTCCAGAGCTGCAATGACCAGTCGCTGCAGCGCAAACGGGCATCCATTCGCGCGCCGACCACGACGTCTGGTCGTACTGCCATTTCTTTCCTGTAGTGTGTGTGTGCCACCCGAGTTGAACACCCCACCTTGGTCCTTGCACGCTCGATGACGCGGATTCGACGATGGCATCACAAATGTAACGCTGTCGTGACAGGCGATGTGCGCTCTTGACTTAATCTGTCTGTCTGGATCAGGCCACCGTGCACAACGCCGTCAGGTCACAGCCGAGACGCGAGTGTGCGAGAGAGAGATTTCTAGCAATACCGTTGTTTAGTGTGCGTGATCGTGAAGTTGCTCGATCTACTGAACATCGCAGCACCTGCAGTCACCACCCCGCCCCATTGTTGCTGTAGTCGAGGCGGGGTTCCAGGTTTCGGTGCCGCCGGAGTGCCTTCATCCAAGAAGAGCGTTTCAAGCGCCCGGATCTGCATAACAGACCGACAGCTGTCTGTCCAACGCTGAGCGCAGCGCCGTATGTGCGGCCCACGGAGAGACCAATCGGCCTCCGAGCGTGCGTTAGTCATCGGCCTTGCGCTGCTGGTTTTCAGCCGAGCACAATGGCAAGGAGGCAGTCACGCAAACCATTGTGCGGTGCTCCAGGAGCGCACAATGGCATCAATGGGGCAGTCAAAAAATCACGGCTCCAGGCAAAGGCGCTACCTGGACGTCGGGTCCAATATCGGCGTGCAGGTGCGAAAGCTGTTTGGTCTTCTGATAAATGCAGTATGGAAGATACAAAGAGACGGAGGAGCAACGAGCGCCCTGGCGTGAGCCGAAGACACTCCCCTCCGTAGACACTGATCACACACGGGTGGGACAGGGTGGGTCACAACAACGAGGCACGAGAGCGTGCACGACAGAGCGACAACGCAGCGCACTGCCGTCCAGTCGGCGAAGGGACGGCTGCTGCGCAAAGTGATCAGTTCTAATGAATGTACCGGGGCCCAACGGATAGATGAATCCGGGGCACCCTCCGCTCGAATCCCTGGCCGGGGGTTCGAGGTGGCCCCCACCCTGGGGCCTCCCATCAAAGGGACTGCGGCAGAAGACGCCCAATCTTGCACAAGTGCAAGAACCATACGTCTTCTGATAAATGCAGTATGGAAGATACAAAGAGACGGAGGAGCAACGAGCGCCCTGGCGTGAGCCGAAGACACTCCCAACTGCGCTCCGTCACCGGTGTCGCGGTCTCCCCCACTGAGGACGATCTGCGGGGGGGAGTCGCGCCGCCGGCATGTATCTGTGCAACTGTGTTTTTGCCTTGTCCCGTTTGATGGAGCAAAGTCACGGGCCGCCCGCGCTTGAAGGCGGTCGCGCCAGGCGCGGGCGGCACTAGTTGCCGGCGATCCGCTTGGGCAGCGCCCACGCTTGCCTCTGGCTGGGTCTCCATAGGTCGCGCGGCCCGAATGCTCGAATTGAACGTCTCGCAAGCTGGCGTCGCTCGCGTAGCTGTGGCAGGGCGATCCTCCCCCCGGATGAGGGAGATCTCTAGCCTCCTAACGAGGTTGCCCTCCGGCTGGCTGTTGCCGACAGCAGTTAACACCTCCGCAGTTGCGTCGGTCGCGCCACAGGTAGAGACGTTGAGCTCGACAAAGTCTTGGTAGTTGTTTCGGGCCATCAGTCCGACAGGAGAGGGCCAGCGGTCGCCTCCTCGAGCTGCCCATGCCTTCGCCGGTTTGGAGTATCGTCGCCGCCACCACCATGTGCGCCCAGGAAAAGGAGGGCTCCCCACTGGAAGTAATCCTTGGCGTCGTCCGTCAGCAGGTATATCGGCTCTCCCAGAAGGTGGGCGTCACGGCGCAGCCTGGTTGCGTCGCGCTTGAGGTGTGCTATGGTGGGCTTGACCTCCTTCGGGAACTTGCTCGACCAGGAGGAGGGGGCAGCTGGAGGAAGGCCGGATTGCCCACCACAGACCACGGAATGAAGCGCAGGGTAGAGCCCACCACTGTTGAGTCGACGGGTATCACCAGTGGCTTTGCGGGATCGGGGTGCTGCTCGGCCGGAATGCTGAGCTCGGCGGCAGTGAGGTCTGGCATCGCAGCGCCGGTCGTCTCGTCGAGGGCTACCTCTCGACTCTACTCCCGTGTCACAACAACGAGGCACGAGAGCGTGCACGACAGAGCGACAACGCAGCGCACTGCCGTCCAGTCGGCGAAGGGACGGCTGCTGCGCAAAGTGATCAGTTCTAATGAATGTACCGGGGCCCAACGGATAGATGAATCCGGGGCACCCTCCGCTCGAATCCCTGGCCGGGGGTTCGAGGTGGCCCCCACCCTGGGGCCTCCCATTAAAGGGACTGCGGCAGAAGACGCCCAATCTTGCACAAGTGCAAGAACCATACAGCCAGAGCTGTACCCTGACGCGAAGGAGATGATCACTCTTTTCGACGAGCTTTTTGTGCACTGCGCGACGACGCGAGGTCTATGGGTCTGTTTGCGCCGGACAGACATGAGAGAGAGAAGAGATTTTTAGCAATACCAAACAACTCACTCTAACACTCACACATCATTGAGAGAGAGATTTTAGCAATACCAAACAACTCTAACACTCACACGTAATTTGGGGCCTGGAGCCCTGTTCACGCGCGCGCGAGACGTGCAGACAGGGTTGCCAGGTGAGAGCGAATGGCGCGGTTCACATCATTTGGGGCCTGGCTGGAGTTCACGCGCGCGCGAGGCGTTTGTTTGTTGACATGTGTGTGTGCCTGTCAGCCGATTGGAGGTCGCACTTCGCTGCGTGGTACAAGAGCATCGTGCGTCAGTGGGTGTCTTGCGATGCCGAGGCGTAATGCCCGTTGCAAAAGAAAAGACGGAAGCAGAGAATGCGCGTCGTGCTGTGGCAAGGCTGCGACATCTGGCGCCTGACCTTCATGTACGAGCCTGTCATGCAGACTCTCGCACAGGGCTTTGCCGCCGGTGGTGCGCACGTTGCCACAGGCTGTATACGCAACCCTGACGCGGTTGCTAACATGACGTGGTTGCACAGCTGGGTTCAGCGCGACGACTTCTTTGCATGGATCGGCCCCATAGGTTCTTATCATGTCGCATGGGGCCGGTTGCGCGAGCTTGGCGTGCACACTGTGCACTATAAAACTGAGCCAGTGCCGTTGATTTCCACAAAATCAAAATGCATGTTCAACCGACATATCAAGGAGAACTGGGAGTACTCGATGCTCAACTATGAGGAGAGCATGCGCTGTGCCAACGCAAGCGCCAACGCGCCGAGGCCGCGCTACGTGCCACCCGGTGCATACCGTCACGCCATTGTCAACGCTTCGGCGCCGTCAAGCGCGTCGCCGGTGCTGCTTTTCTTGGGCAATCCTTATGAGGGAGGCAGGCACAAGTGTTATGGAGAGCTCTCGCGTCGGCTCGTGCGCGTTGGCGCGATGCTCACGTACACCTACAAGGCGTTTGGCGAGGAGGCATTTGGGCAACGGCTATCGCAGCGCGCGACAGTGTGCGTCAATCTCCATAAGAAGTGCGGGGCGCGGGCCGCATTGGAGGCCGTCCGAGTGGCGCAGGTCATGTCTTTTGGCGACTGCCTCGTACTCTCCGAGCGCGCGCATGCGCTCGACGAGAGCTCGTACGAAGGCATCGTCCGCTTTGCCGACAATGTCTCGGACATTGCAGCTGCCTTTGCGAGGCTCGTCGAGGATGGAGGCCGATGGCGTTCTGAGGCCGCCGCCGCGGCCCACCGCTTCCGACGGACCTTTGCTCCGACGGCCATCTTTCGCCGTGCTGGCGTGTACAGAGCCTTCGGTCTCGAGGACCCCGTTAGACCGGATAGTTTGCTCGTATGACGTCGTGAATGATGCCTAACGAAAGGCAAAATTGAAATTTTGAGTGAACTGGCGGTAGCAGCATGCTAGAGATGCTTCTCTAGCATCCCAATTCCCATTCCCCTTGATAACCTTGAGGCAGGATATTAAACAAAACACGCACCCGCAGGCACAAACCACGAAGTCACGCGCCTCCAACGGAAGTCACACAGAGAGTCACCCAAACTCCCCAGTGACTCCTGGCCCGACAAATCACTCGACGCCTCCCCTGTCTCCCCACTGTCCTCCTGAATGATCCCACTCCTTACTAACTTCCTCGCTAGATTCCTCATCAGACCTCTCACTAGACTCTAGACTAGACTCGCCATCCGACATATGTTCGTCTGACTGCTCGGTGCCACCAGGGCTGGTCTGCGGCGAGGGCGATGCGGATGGCTGCGTAGAGCCGTAGATGAGGCCGCCTGATGACTCTGATTCCTTTTTCTGGTGAATGCGCTAGCTGCCTTGATGGCAGCTGAAAATGACTTGGGCTCAAAGTTCTCAAGGCGCGACTCGATAGCGGTCCATTCAGGCTTGTCTTCCCAAAGAAGGTTCCGTCCTCGTCGTCGAATGTGTTGCTGATGTTCGGTATTGTCGCGTATAGCCACTCATTGTCCCAGAGCAGCGCGATGTAGAAGTACTGCCTTCTTCCGGCTGCACAGTACCAGCTGGTTTTGTACCTCTGAGTATCTGTTGGAGAGTGTGAACTCAAACCTACTTCCTGACCGTAGCCTGACCGTCCTTGTGTAACCGTGTCTCTCTCTCACCGTGTCTCATGTTTGGTTTGTCCTGCCGTGCACATTGTCATCGACTTGTATCCGACTTGGTGGTTGTGGTGATGTAGCGATGGTGTGGGTCTCTAGTGACCTATACAGCTCCTCCGTGTTCCGTCTCCTGACATGGTACCGACCGGTGAGTGCACGGAGTGAGCAGTGCGGCACTGAGGCCGACATGAGAGCTGGTGCGGCACACAAGCGAGATGTGTTGCCGCACAGCATTTCCGGCTTGCGCTCGATACGTTGGCTGGCACCATGGGCACCTGTTTGAGCCGTGGTGATTGGCTGGGCACAGAGGCTCGGCGCACGGTGGCACAGCGGCCGCCAACTGCTTGGCTCGGAGGCTGAGCAGAATGAGTACAACCGCAACATCAACTTGGGTGCTTGCGGATCTTCTGCGACAGAGCGCATCTCCGCCAGCACTGCGGCTGTGTGGACACGAGTATCTTATCCCCTCTTGCTTATCCTTACCGGTCCGTTCTCCTCGCCTACGGACCACCATCGCAGCTGCTGCCTCCGCTACCAGCTCTCGGGCTGCTGCAACGGCAGTTACCGCAAAGATCTCGCACCGAATGTGGACCCTGCCTTTCGCCGCCGCTACTTCCGACGTCGCCGCTCGACACGACCGGAGCTGTACGCGATGAACACGCGACGATCGACACGCCCTCTCTGCCTTGTGTGGCGATTACCACGTCGTGGGGGAGTGTTGGGCATCTGTTCGACGTGGCAATGCCACTCTACCTCATTGCTGTCTCTTCCTCGTCTCGCCTCCTCGCGCTAGCCCGTCCCGCTGTCCAACGCCTCTGGCAAGAAGTCCAATGCGCCTCTACGAGCGTCTCTGCCGTCTGGACGTCTGAGACTGAGCCTGCCATCTCCGACGTCGGCGGCCCGTGGCGCAACATCAACGTTCGGGGCATTGAAGATCGTCCTCACGTCCCTGATGCGCTCATCCAGGGGATGAACGCGGCCCAGCTCATGGAGAAGCAGGGCCAGCTGCAGGAGCTGTACGAGGGCCGCATCGCGTCGATGCAGCGACTTGTCGGCTTCCTCGTCCTCTTCCACGAGAAAACCCGAGCGTCGCGTGCAGGACTTCTGGCCCGCGGTCTCCTTCGGCATCTTCGGCTACGACATGAGCCGCTCGCACTCCATCATGCGCATCGCCACCACCGCCTCGCCCATCTCGGGCTCCGACGTGCGCCACAAGATGCCTCGCCCATCTCGGGCTCCGACGTGCGCCACAAGATGCCTCGCCCATCTCGGGCTCCGACGTGCGCCACAAGATGATCGAGCTCTCGCGGAGCAGACGGCCAAGGAGTTCTGCGCGTCGATTCTGGCCTCGTGGTTCATCCAGAGCCGCCTCGGCGGCAACCGCAAGGGCGGAATCCAGAGCCTGGATTTGATTCGCAGTCGTCGAATCCAGATTCGCAGGATCGACTCTCAGATCGAGGCGCTCCTCGAGATGAAGCGCAAGGCCGGCGTCTAAGCTTGCCAATCATCAGAGCGCACCTCGGCCGACGCCGTGTCTAGACAGCTGTCTAGACAACAAACAACAAGTTCAAAAGTTGATAAATAAATAAAGAAATAAAACGGACACCTCTGCTGGGTAAAAAGGAACATCTAGGAGTAGGTCCCCGGTCCCCGCCCGTGCGCCGTGGCCGTGCCGATCTTTGTGCAGGGTTCTTTGTGGGTGTGGTCGGTAACCCTGGTCGGCGACTAGCCGGGGTCGTCCTCACGATGGGGGGCTAGCCGCCCTAGCCGTCTTCCACATGGTCCCTCGGGTCCCTGCTACTCTTAGTGACCCAGGGACTAGTTGCAAATACGGGTGGTGTCATAATGACCACTTTTGATGTTTTTTTGTCCGTGTTGCTCCCAGCGCCCTCGCCCGCGCTCCCTGAGGCCATGGGCATGGCTGGTGATACTAGTACGGGGGGCTACCTGGCTACCGCGAGAGCGACCCAACTCGTCGACATCGTCCGATGATGGTGCCTCAAAGTCAGCCTCCGGAGGCTATCGTCGCGTCGAGCCGGCGGTGGCCGTGACATGTGGTATCACCACCCCTCGCAGGCTTTGCCCCTGACCGCCACCGTTCCCAGGCTGCCTAATGGGATGGAAAGGAAGGCTGGGCGAGCGTATAGAAGCGTGCTCGACCTTGTCGTGGCAACCTGCACGGCAGCGCTGGCAGGCGCGATGAGCGTCGTGCCACCTGACCCGAGACGGGGGTCGCAGCGTACCGAGCGCGTCGAGACCGTGTCCTGATGTGCTCTGCACGGGTGAGTCACGTGGGCGTCAAACTCAAAGGAGCGACGTGCGACCTGTCAGAGCTTGATCTCCGGTCTCTCAGCGGCGTCGAGTCGCGCACCTGGTAGTATGTCCAGCCGCCCCAGCCCGAGCCTGGCTGTTCTTCACCGTCGATACTATGCGACTTAGGGAGTAAAAAGCGTCATGTCGTCTGAAATGGGATTTATTTCCCCTTCCGCGGGCCTCCCGACGGGTCTCGGGTGTCCTGGCTTCCACGACGACACACTCGAACACTAGCACGCACGCCGATGCCGCTCGAGTCCACCCTCCGGTCATGCAGAGTCCGCCCCCGCCTCGCCCTCGCCGCGGCAGTGCTGCAGGTACCGCCGCACATCCGCGGGGTTGTCCTCGTGCAGCGCGACCACCTGTTGACAGACAGACGGTGTGAAGTGCACGCCGCCCTCTCGCAAGCCTGCTCTTGCAGCAGGGGGGAGGAGGAGGAGGGGGGGGGGGGGGGGGCTTCCGGGTCCCTCCGCGGCAGCGGGGGTCTCGTCTGGACCTCCCCTTGCAAAAAGGGGGGCCTGCGGGCCAAAAGGCCCAAAGCGTCACTCGCGACTGAACAACCCGGCCGTGCGTTGAGGAGGGAAACAAATGGGCTCTTTCAAGCCCGGGAAAGGGGGAAAGGGGAAAGGGGGAAAGGGGGGGGGGGGGGACATTCCCTTCCCCAAAAAGGGTTTTGGGGGGTTTTGGCCTTTAAAATCCCTTTTGGCTGGCTTTGGGGGGGAAATCCTCCCCGCCGCCTCCCTCTCTCTCTGCTACCTCTCGCCAGTGCTCTCGCCCTGCTGTCGGCCGCAGCTTGGAGAGGAGGACGGTGACGGTGCAGCCGCCCCCTCCCTCCGCCCCCTCCCCCTCCCCCTCCCCCTCCACCTCGTACGTGGTCTCGTCCGACACCACCTGAGCGAGCGTCAGAGTGAAGCACATGAACATGACATGCACATGACAACATGCACATGCACACATGTACATGTACATGTGAGTGACGTGGGCTGCTCCCCCGACACCGCCTGAGCGACCTCACCTCTCCTCCACACCTCAGAGCCGCCCACGGCCGTCCCACACCTCCGCAGCGCGCAACCTCGGCTCATCTCGGCTAGTGTAGCAAAGACCGCCACGGCTACTCCGGCCGCCTGCGCGTGCAGCTTCCCCCGCAGCAGCTCCCCGCCCCCGTGCCGCACCTGCGAGCAGGAAAAGAAGGCCGGCGTGTTTCTTTTCAGCCAGCGTCGTGTCGATACCGCGTGCCGCAGCTGCGAGCACTCTTGTGCGAGCAGAGTAGCTAGCGGTGGCTCCCTCTCCCCTCGCAACTCGGTTGCACCTCGGCCGCACCTCGGCCGCACCTCGGCCGCACCTCGGCCGCACCTCGGCCGCACCTCGGCCGCACCTCGGCCGCCTCTCGGCTGCCTCTCGGCTGCCTCTCGGCTGCCTCTCGGCTGCCTCTCGGCTGCCTCTCGGCTGCCTCTCGGCTGCCTCTCGGCTGCCTCTCGGCTGCCTCTCGGCTGCCTCTCGCCTCGAGCGAGTCGGAGGTCGAGCGAACGCGCAGCGACGAGGCGAGGGAGCGAGGCAAGCCGCGCAGTCTGACAGTGATCTCTTCGCCGCTCTGCTCCCACTCGTAGGACTCGGTCGCGCCTAACCCCCACCCCTCGCGCCATCTCGCCCAACCTCGCGAGGTCTCGCACCCCCCCCCCGAGAAGGCCCTTTGATGCACCGCCAAGCTCGGCGTGACTCCGCCGCACCACCCGCCCGCTCTCGCCGTCCACCGCCAGGCTGCTTGCCTGCGGCGGGAGCAGGCAGCGGGAAGAGATGGAGCACGCAGTGGAGGGGCGCAGTCTCCTCTCTCTCCCTCTCCCTCTCTCTCTCTCTCTCTCTTTCCCTCTCTCTCTCCATCCCTCCCTCCTCTCCCTCCCTCTCTCCCTCTCCCTCTCTCTCCCTCTCTCTTTCCCTCTCTCCCCCTCCCTCTCTCCCTCCCTCTCTGCCTCTCCCTCCCTCTCTCTCCCTCCCTCTCTCCCTCCCCCGGGCTC